GTGATTGGGGGGATGGGATGTACCAATGGGGTTGTGATTGGGGGGATGGGATGTACCAATAGGTAACAGGAAGCAGGATGGATATGTGATGGGGGGGATGAGGATGTGTCAGAGGGTGAGGGTGGAAGTTGGGGGAGAAAAGATGGAGACATAAGCAGGGGAAGGAAATGGGGATGTACCAAGGGGAAACAGGAAGCGGGATGGGTTTGTGAGGGGGGGGGATGAGGATGTGTCAGAGGGTGGGGGTGGAAGTTGGGGGAGAAAAGATGGAGACATAAGCAGGGGAAGGAAATGGGGATGTACCAAGGGGGAGCAGGATGAGAGGAGATGGGGATGTACCAAGGAGGACATAATGGGGGGCTATGGGAATGTGCCAAGAGGATGGGGGCATACCAAAGGGGAGCTCGATGAGGGGAGAGGGGGATGTACCAAGCCGGATGGTGGGGAGTCACTCACCCTTGAGCTTCTCCCCAAACATGGTGAGGAAGACGGTGAAGTTGATGGGGCCGCTGGCTTCCTTAATCATGGCGTCCAGCTCCTCGTTCTTCACGTTCAGGCGCCCTGCCAACGGGGGGGAGGGTTATAAAGTGTGGGGGGGAATCCCATCCCCCTCTCCTGGAACAGGTCCCTTCCTGCCCAGATAGAACCCACTCCACTTGGAATGGCCCCTCCCACCCAGAGAAGCCCCTCCCACCCAGAGAAGCCCCTCCCACCATGGTCTGGCCCCGCCTCTTTACCCATGGCAGCGAATGTGTCTCTCAGGTCTTCCTTGTCGATGATGCCATCTCTGTTCTGGTCAATGACGGTGAAGGCCTAAGGGGGAGAGGAGCAAAGGATCATGGGAATGGAGAGATGCCAAGGGCCGTATAGATCTCTGCAGCCCGGCCTCCCCCCACTGCCCCCCCTTGCAGCTGTTCCCCCAGAGACACCTGTCACCCAGCCCCCGTTCCCGGCTCCTCGGGGACGGAAGGAACGCCAGGAATCCCCGTCTGGCGGCATGCCCCCGTCCCGACGCAGCCCCCCTCCCGTGGGGGACAGGTGCTGCATGCCGGAGGAACTGACGAGCTCTCCAGAGACGGGGGGGGAGGGAAGCTACCCCCCCAGCAAAGATGGAGATGCCCCATTGGCACCCCTCCCTCCCCCAATTCCACGTCTCCAGGGATTTCCTTGTAAGGCGCCTCCAACCCAATTACAGATGTCGTGTCTCCACCCTCCAACCCCCAAAATAGACGCCCGGCCCTCAGGATCCGGGGAACGAAACGGCCCCGTCTGTGCCGGGAGGGATGGGAGCTGGGGAGACGGCCGCCCCCAGGGAGAAGGACGCAGCGGGGAGGCATCTCTCTGTCGGATTGGGCGAGGCGGGGTCATTTCGGGGAGTCGTGGGAGCGAGGAGGACTTGGGGAGACGGAACCCTGGACCCCACCCTAGAGCATCAAGGTTTGGTGGGATGATCCCACCCCCCGGAGACAGGGGACTAGACTGCAGGGGCCAATCTTACCCCCCACCCTCACCCCTCCCTGCCCTTCATCCACCCTACCTCCTCCTCCTCACCTCTTTGAACTCCTGGATTTGGGTTTGGTCAAACATAGAGAAGACATTGGAGCTGCCTTCGGCTGCCTTCCTCTTCGCCTTCTTGGGTGCCTGGGGTTTTTTTTGGGGGGGGAGTGGAGGGGAAGAAAAGCAGACAGGCCGTGCCATGAGCCACCATGCCCTCCCCCTGCCCCCAGATCTGAGCCCTGGACATAGGTCTGGTGCCCCATATCACCCTCATCCTCCCTGTCTGTGATCAGTGGGTGCAGAGCCCAAGAGATGGACTGGGGGAGCTCTTGGGGTGAACCTAGAGAAGTGGGGGTTATTGGGGGTGCATGGGAGCTAGCGAGGGAATTGGGGTGCAGTGTGCAATATTGGGGGGCTAGAAGGAGGTGCAGGGGAGATATGGGTGGAATTGTGGTGCATGGGGGGACATTGAGAGGTGTATGGGAGTTATTGGGGGTGCATGAGAATTACTGGGATGTGCACGGGCGTTAGTGGGGAAATTGGGGTGCACAGCAGTTATTGTGGAATATATTGGAGTTAGTGGGAAAAACAGGGGTACATATGAGTTATTGGGGTGCATTGGGAGTTAGTGGGGGAAATAGGATGTACAGCAGTTAGTGGGGGCACATGGAAATTGGGGTGCATGGGAGTTAGTGGGGGAAATGGGGGTGCATGGGGAAACACCTGTTAAGCAATGCCAGTGGGGGGCCTCAGCTGTGTTTAGGGGCAGTTATGAGATGGGGTGTCTATTGTGAGGGGGTAACAGTCCCCCAGTGGATAACAAGGCTATCCCAGTTTTTTCCCTTGGGGGAGCTGGCTCTAAGTCAAAGGTGGGGTGTTTTGCCCAGGCTAGAGGGAGAGGTTTGGGCTCCCCAAGAGTCTAGCCCTAGGGTTGGACGATACTCCAGGGACACAGATTCTGATGCCCCCCAATACACATGAGGGATTAATTTTTGACTCTGTGCTCCCCCCCCCAGATGGCGCCACCATGGCTCAGTTGGGCGTCGGGACCCAGATGACCCCACAGTCTCAGCGATGGGAGGGCGGTGGAAGGGGACAGAGATCCGGTCGGGATGGGGACCCAAGCGCCGTCTGTCTGTGCATCGGACTCCATCTCTCCCCCCCCTCCATGCCCAGAGCACCCTTATGGCATGAGGAAATCGCGGGGGAAGGGACCCGGATAGAAGTGACCCCCAAAACCTGCAGGAGAGTAGGACATGCCTGAGCCATCTTAGGGGGATGCCTGGAGACGGACAGGTGCAGGAGGGAGGGGGTGTGGGGGGATGGATGGGTAGATAGAGATGAGGGGGATAGATAGATGACTGGGTTGGATAGATGGATGGCTAGATAGGGGGTGTATGGATCTAGAGAGAGAGGAGTGGGGGGATGGGGCTAGAAAGATAGATAGAGGAGTGTATGTGGGGATGGATAGATAGAGTGTACAGGGATAGATGGATGGATGAGAGGGGTTTATGGGGATAGATTAGATAGAGGAGGTGTATGGAGATAGATAGATAGATAGATAGATAGATAGATAGATAGGTGGGAGTGTAGAGAGAGAGAGAGAGAGAGGGTGGACGGGGATAGGTAGGTAGGGTGTGTGTGTGGGGACAGATATATCGATTGATCCCTTGGTAATTTCTCTCCACACTGTAGCTTTCCACAGGCGGGTCCGAGTGTCCCAAAGCCGCGGCGTGTATGTGTGGGGGTCTCAGTTCAATTCCCCGGGGTCCGTCCGTCTGCCTGTGTCCGTCTCACTTACCATCTCCTCTCAGCGGGCGGGCGCAGCTGTTGGGAGGTCTCTGCTGGCGGGGGAAGCTGGGCAGGCTGGGGAGCCCTGCCAATCCCCCTGGGGTTATATAGAGCTCCCGGGGGGTGCCGGGGGGGTGGGTGACGTGCCAAGGGCTAACTATAGTAGCATCTTCAAGTTTGGCTCGGAGGAGCCTAGGGCTTGAAATAGATCCCGGCTGGGCCGCTCCTTTCTTGGAGAAAGGAGACAGGAGAGGTGGGATCCCTCCAGTCTGCTTGGCCCCCAGGCTGCCCCACATGACCCCCCCATAGGGTCCCCCGACCCCATGTCTTGCCCCAATATAGAGCCTGCCTCAGTCGATCCAGCTTCCCTGACCTGCTTCTGCCCCATTCACCCCCTCTGCTGCCCCTCGGTGTCACCCCAATATTCGGCCCCACCTGCTCCCCACTGTCACCCCCAGTATGGGTCCCCCCTCTTTTGCATCATCTGCTGCCCCCTGAGTCACATCTTTATGAATCCCCCTCTCTCGTCCCATCTGCTTCTCCTCTGTGTGTCACCCCAATAAGGATCCCCCCAAAAGATCCAGATCTCATGCTCCTGCCCCATCTGCCCCCCATATGGGCCTCCCAGCTCTGCGTCTCCATGTGTGGCACCCCAATATGGGCCCCCCTACAAGATCCAAGGCTCCGGTTCCTGAACTCTGAATCTCTCCTGTTGCTCTCATTTGTGTCACCCCAATAAGGGTCCCCACTATGGGGTGACCCCATCCCACCCCACCGCTTGGCCTCTGTTTTGTATCTCCATGAGAGGGACACAGATGGAGGGAGAGATAAATAGAGGGATGTGGGGGGGGATGGACAGACATGGCAGATCGCCTCTGGGTGGGAATGGGCTAGTGGGGTGTCCGTGCCCTGGGGCAGGGACTGTGTGGGACTGTCCTGTGTGCGCCGTATCCCTCTCACTGTCCCTGGCTATCTGGGCGTCCTGGAGAAAGTTTCCTTCTCAAGACGGGCGGCACCAGCTGTCTCCTCCGAGCCACCGACAACTTGGCAGCCCTCACGCCATCTGCCCAGCCCTGGGGCGGCCCTCCCCACCCCAACGGCACACCGATCCCTGGTTAGGGGCCAGCCTCGTGCCCTGCACCCAACACACATAAGGATCTACCACCTGCCCCATGTGCCAAGGCTGGTCCGGGGGTGGGGAGGGGAGACCGAGCCGGATAAACCAGGTGGGATGGGTTGAGGGGCAAGTTGACGGGGAGGGGAATCTTGTGCATAAGCCCCTCCCACAATTCAGAGTTCCACCTCCAATCCCAGAGCAGGCTGAATCTCCCTGCCAAAGGACTCTGCAAACAGGCTCCAAATGATGCAATGGCCATCCTTAGGGTCCAGAGTGAACACTCATGGAGGTGAAGGGGGGGGCAACCGTGTGTTACAGTTATAAACTGTATATAAACTATACAATCAGCTTTTTCGGGGTCCCTGTCCCACCTCGCACTCTCATCTCACTCCCCTCCCAGAGAACCCAGGAGTCCTGACTCCCAGCCCTCGCGTACGAAGACAGGATGGGAAGCGGCCGGGGGGAAACGGGGGGTCCTTGATCCATGCGAAAGAGAAAAGAAGAAAGTCAGGAAGAGGGAGAAGTGGCCAGTGGGAGGAGGGGCCATCCCCGCCCCCGCCAGCGCAGGGTAGCCCCATCCCCAGGGGCTCCTACAGGCCCTGCTGAACCAACCCTGCACCCCACCCCCAACCCCAAAAGGCGCTGGGATGTTTCCGGGGCTGCTGCACTCTCCCGCCCCCCCTTCTGCCACCCCCATGGGTGAACCCCCCCCCCAGGGACCTGCCATTTCACCTCATGTGACTCTAATTCCCCCCCATGGGCAACACCTGCTAGGAAAGCCTGGGACCTCGCCCCTCCCCCAAGCTAGGGAGAGAACCCAGGAGTCCTGGCTCCCAGCCCCCCCTGCTCCAACCCACCAGACCCCACTCCCCTCCCAGAGCCAGGGAGAGAACCCAGGAGTCCTGGTTCCTTCCCATCCCCCAGCTGGGCTAGCACCACTTGACCAAACTCCCAGAATCCTTTTCAACTCGGCCAACCCCCAGCCTCCTTCCCATTGGCTACTGCTAGGCCCCGCCCCGCCTCCCTTCCTCATTGGCTGCTGCTGGGCCCCCTACCCGCCTCCCTTCCCATTGGCTGCCTCTTCCGCCAGCCCCCCTCTCCTATTGGTTGAGACAACCGCCAATCAACCGCCCAACTGTCATCAACGGTCCCTCCCCCTTGGCGGAGTCCGCCCCATTCTGAGCTGCCCGCTCTTGGGTGTCCATTTGTCGAGGAGCCTGCCACTCCCGCCCTAAGTCTGCGCTCATTGGTCCGAGGAGTCGCCGATCAGTTTCCCGCTCCGATGTTTTATTGGCCGGCAGACAAGGCGCTCGGGCTGCCCGTGAAAGCTGGAGGTGTCCCCGACACTGATTGGTTGAGCTGCGACCCTTCTTGCCGCTAATTGGTTGACATAACGCCGGTCCTCCTAGGATTGGTTAAATGTCGCGTTAGATCCGCCTCTCCCGTCTCTGTGTTGATTGGTTTAACCTCACCTTCCGATTGGGCGGCTGGGGCAATACCTCTGCTCTGATTGGCCACATCCCCACTGGCCCGCCCCGTCGCCCCAGCCCTTCTCTCACCCGCCCTTCCTCGTTTGATCGCCATCTCCCCGATTGGCCGGAACCCCGACCTTCCTTGCCCTGACTGGCCCATCCCAGAGCCGCTCCCGCCCACTCGGACCCGCCCTCCCACAACCCTCCCCCTCCTCCCTTCTAATTGGCTGGCCCGGTTGCCCTCCCGGCCTGGGATTGGCCGCCTTCCCACGTGGCACTGCCGGGCTGCGCGCGCAGCCTGGGGGGGGGCGCCCTGGCTTCTGGTTGCTGGATGCTCGGGCTGAGGCAGAGACCCAGCGAGGCTCCTGCCTCCGCCTCCCTCCCCCATCACTCCAGCCCAGGCTTCGGTGGGGGCCACTAGGCCGCCCCCGCAGGGCCGGGGGGGGAGGAGCCCGCTGTCGCCATGGAGATGGGGGCTGGCGACGCCCCGTCGCCCCGCCCCGGTACAACGCCCCCCGCTCGGCGCTCTACGCCGCCAAGATGAGCGCCATGGCGACGCCAACCCCGCTGGCACCCAGACCCCCGGCCACGGCGCCGTCGGCCTCGCCCGGGCCCGGGGGCAGCGGGGCGGCGGCTCGGGGCAGCGGGGCGGCGTCTCCAGCGGTGACGGGCAGCGGGGCGGCGTCTCCCACGGCGACAGGCAGCCCGGCCTTGGTGACGGGCAGCGGGGCGGCGTCTCCGGCGGTGACGGGCAG